TAGACTTGCAACTAAATTTCCCTTTTCCCTCTTCCCTGCAGGGATTCCCTCTTCCCTTAAGGGAAAAAGAGGGAAAGGGAATGGAAAATGAGTAAAGAGGGAAGGGAAGGGAATCCCTCTTACACAATAAGGGAATCCCTTATAGAAAATTTCCCTCTTTTTCCCTTTAATTCCCTGCAATTTAAGAATAGTTTTTATAACAAAATAGGTATTAAAAGAATTGAAATATGTAGGGAATTGTTTTTAAAACAATATTACATACTGTATATGCAATTCACTGTATTTTAGCGAAAACACGCTTTGATATCATTATTTGCTGTGATTTTTAAGGGAAAAAGAGGGAAAAATAATTAAGAGGGAAAATAAGGGAAAAAGAGGGATTCCCTGTTGCCTGTAGAGGGAAGGGAAGGGATTCCCTCTTTGCATAGTTTAAGGGAAAAGGGAAGGGAAGGGAATGGAAAAATAGGAAAAGTGGCAAGTCTATTTTGAACTTTTAGACAATTTGATTGGCACTCAAATAACATGGATTTACATTGAATTTAAGGTAAATATTGTTTATTCTGATATTTTTCTGCAATTGTGAACACATTTGACGCCATATTGAAGTTATATTAAAATTAAATAATTTTAGGTAAAACCGTTGTGTTATTTATTTAAATTATGAATACATCCAGTTTAGTCAACCATGTCATTTTCAACTCACTGTTTTGCTTATATTTATTCTAATCTCTATTTGTAAGCATAGATTTTATGTTATTTTTAATTAATATAATAATTCTTGTTTTGCTATGAATTATATTTAAATAAATTATTTAAATTTCATTAAATTTAGTTTAATATCAAAAGCGATATTCTTGTTAAGATAATTACATGAATACCATATTCATTGTAATGTTATTCCTATTCATGTCTTTAGACCAATGTACAAAATATTGTGGACATAATATTAAATTAATTGCATTATAAAAATAAACCACTTTTTAAGTGCTATTCATTTGATTTTCAAAAAATGAAAGAATATTCTGTTCACAAGAATACAGTGTTTTGTGCGGAAAATCAAACAGAATTGACGTCTATTTGGAGACATTAGTTATGGATTGGCAATGATTTTCAATGCCATTCAGATTACAGACTAAACAACACATAAAACAAAACAATAAATTTAATCAAAACTTTTGTA